GACATTATCTACTTATAAGTATCAATAAAAATGGAATCACTCTGACTACATTCTTCTTAGTAGTGTTCTTACAAATTAGAACCTTTTCAAGTTTAATCACTTAAGCACATGAGCATCTTGTAGTTTTGTGTCCTTTTAGACTCTTTTAAGAGTTTAGTCCTGGGGCACCTGGGTGGCTCAGTGGGTTAAAGCCTCTGTCTTCAGCTCAGGTCATGATCTCAGGGTCCTGGGATCGAACCCCATATCGGGCTCTCTGCTCAGCAGGGAGCCTGCTTCCCCCTCTCTTTCTGCCTGCCTCTCTGCCTACTTGTGATCTCTGTCAAATAAATAAATAAAATCTTTAAAAAAAAAAAAAGAGTTTAGTCCTAAATAATGAGAAGTCCCACATACTCTGCAAACGTTCCTTGACTGTTTTTCTTCATCACTCTTCTCAGCCTAAGTTTCCAAGCTCACCTTTGGAATCTCTACCTCAAAAATATGTATTTAAAATTTTCACCACAATCCTACCATTTTGAAAACAGCCAGATACTTCTGTTCCACTGAAAGCTTTATAGATTACAATTTATATCCCCATTATGGCCATTATTAGGTATTTCATTAATTCTTTCAATTCCTGATCTTATACATGGTATCAGATTTTCCATTTTTTAATTTTTGTTTTTTTTTTGATACACTCATTTATTGTATTTTTTGGAATTGTTTCTGGTAGTACTAACTCTACAAAATGAACTATATGAGAACATGTTTTAAGTTGTAAAAAGTCCTAAGAACAATTATGCAGAAGAGTAAGCTGAATATTAGCTGAATATTACAAAGCAAAGAATACACACACACACTTATTTATTTATTTATTGAGTACCCAATAAATCTCTGAAAACGTATGTGTTAAATATGTTCTTTGCTTTGTAAATATATATATATTCTTTGCTACTTAGTATTCATGATAGGCAGTTATCTCTGACCGTATGAAATAGCAACTCATAAGATAGCTTTCTGTCTTAGAAAAAGGAGAGTGTTTTTATAATTAATTTTATTTCCACTGATAGAATAAGTTTCAGCACTGGAGGCAAATCACTTTTACTGTGTATAAGAAAATGTTTTGATTACTATTCTTCCACTGGCCCCTCCGCTGGCCTACAAATAACCTCATTATATCTCCCATCTTTCTCTTGTGTTCACTGATATATCCCTAGTGCCCAGAATAGTGCTGGGAACATAGTAAGGAAATGTTCTCTATACATTTTGGAATGAAGTAATTAAAAGAAAATCTGAGTTAATCTGTCTAGACACCACCTAATTTGTTTCCTTTTATTTCAAAACTGAACTGAAAGTAAGAAGATACTCAGTACTTACTATCCCTTCTTCATGTAAACTCACTTGTAAACCCATCAAAAGCAATGATCTCTGGGTACCCTTCAAATAAAACTTTTCTTGATGTCCCCATGCAAGGACCAGTTCCAGAGCTGTGTTCTAATGTTCCAGATGGACTTTCTCATGGAAGTTGACTCTTCGGCTTCCTTCATTCTTGAAACTCCTCCCAGAATTTTATAGTGAGAAAAGATCTTAATTTCTCTCCTCCCCCTCATTCATTATAATCCCATATCGACTGATGCCTTCTGTGAATCAGTTTAATGACTAGTTTAGGGAGTGGTTAAAAGCGTTATTCTGGAATCTGATTGCTCAGTTCAAATTCTGGCTCCCCTAGTTGCAAGATTCTCAGAGCATGCTCCTAAATCTCACTTGTACTTACCACTACTTACCACTGACTCTAGCCCTGGTTGGTTCATATTTAAAGTTTTGCAGGTGTGGTTATGATTTTGTAGCACTGGGTTAGATGTTGGTAGAGGCCAGAATGTAACATGTATCAAATAACAGTGTCTTTTCTAAAATTATTTCATTTTATTTCTCAAGTAATTGTGAAGTAAATATTCTTTTTTCATCTCAATAGAGGTATCTGAAGCTCAGATGAGCGAGCTATACCTTGATCCAGGTAACACAGTACCATTAATGACAGAGCTGACTTTCGTATTACTGTCTGGTTACTCACACTTTATTTCTTGAGCACTCCAGCAGTTAAAGCCTTTGGGAGGGAAAAGGCAAAAGAACTGTTTGAGGGGGTTTCCTTGGGGAAACTGAAGTTGTAAATATAACTTGAAAGGCCATTGGTATTGGCATCTTACAAACTTTATGATATCTCAAGAAGATTATGTAGCTGGATTAGATAATGAGATTGTAAATGTCTCTCAGTTAAATTAAGCTTTATCTGAAACCAGTTCCTTGCACGTGAGCTCTTGAAAGCCTCTGGTTCTTATAAATCATGATATACAATGACTTCAACTAAAGTCTCTGCTAAATTTAATCAAGAACATTCTGTACAATGGACTATCCTTTATGCGGTAGTGGGCACTAATGACTGGCTTGCATAAGTATATTTATCCTGGTATAGACAGTGAGGTATTGGCATCTCTCTGCTGTATTTCTTGGGCTTTAAAACAAGCAGACAAGAAGCAATCCAAACAGTTTATTTCCACATAACTGAGTAAAGTAACATCAGATTCTAAAATGTAGTCCTTGCCCACTCTCAGATGGTATGACCCAATCCAAGAAGTGACCACGAAGCCCTTGGATGTGATTTAATCTGAATTGTGTCCCTACTTCATAAAATAGCATTTCATGATATTACTTTGTCATTAGACTACTGCAGGTTTTTTTTTTCCAAGTATTTTTTTTGTAATAGTTAAAATGAACTATTCCCAGGCTCTTCTCCATGCAAAGCAGGAGAAATAAAAAAGCTCTTTTTGATCTGGCATCTTGTATTAATTTAAATTGAATCTTCACTATTTGAATTTATTGCAGCAGATGTCCTCAGCTACCCAATTATTTTAGCACAATTTGGCACATATATAATTTTAAAAGATCTTGTATCTAGGCGAAGCATTTAATTTCCTACCAAATTAATCCCTTTGGAACATTATGTTGGATGCCATGGTGATTAAAAAAAAGACTCTTTCATAACAGCAAGTTGCTCCAGTAAATACCCAGTACTCTGCACAAATGGAAGATCTGCATTTATTTCTTCTGTTATAAATGCTGCAGGTTTTCTTATTACTAATTATGAACTCTTTCTCAGCTATTTTTAATAACAATGTATTCTGTGCCCTTTCCTTTCTAATTCTGGGTTTTTCTGTTCTCCTTTGTGAAGGAGATGACATGCTTTTCTTGACCCTAAAGTGGCAGTGAATGTGGATAAAAGCAGAATTCCTCAGCAATGTGGTCAGGAACAGGAATGATAATGTTTAAGATTTTGCTTAGCTAAATGACCTATACCTCAATATGCATTTTTAGTAATTAATTAAAATAAGTTAATGTGTCCTAGTTACTATTGCTGTGTAACAAGTCATTCTAAAACTTTTTAGAGTAAGGCAACCATTTTATTATGTGCACAGATTCTGTGGATTAGATACTTAGATATGGCATAGCAGAGATGGTTTGACTGTGATCCATGATGTCTGGGCCCTCAGCTGGCAGACTCAAAGACCAGGGATGACTTAATGGTTGAGAGCTATGAAAATCTGGTATTATTAAAAGTCTGGAAATTCAGCTGGGAATGTTGACTGAAACACCTGTATACAGCCTTTCTTGGTATTTTTGGTTTTAATACCACGGTGGGTAGTTTTTTGAGGTAAAACATCTTAGAGGAAGGCATGCCTAGATCAAGCATTCCAAGAGTACCTGATAACAGAGTCTCAGAATTCACCTGTCACCATTCTTTCCAAATAGGTATAAGCTCAACCCAGAAGTCAGTCTAGATTCAAGGAGAAAAGACACAGACCCTAACTAATTAGAGAAGTTGGAATGATTTGTGGATATATTTTAAAACCACAACAAATTTATCATCTAATAGTGATATATGATAGGTAATTATTTTCTGTATGCTTAAGATTGTTGTAGACTATATATAACATTACACATCCCTCAACTGTTAGAGGAGACCCATGGAAGTTCAGATAGAGTGCACAACAAAGTATTCACCATATATATTATGCTCAATTTTGTTATTTTTTTTTACTTTAAAAATATTTTAATGAAGCTGTTACAGACAATGTTCATTTAAAACCCATAACCCAGGGATGCCTGGGTGGCTCAGTCAGTTAAGCATCTGCCTTTGGGTCAGGTCATGAGCTCAGAATCCTGGGATGGAGCCCCATGTCGTCGTTGTCATCGTCGTCGTCGTCAATGTCATAGTCGTCATCATTGACATTGTCGTCGTTGTTGGGCTCCCTGTTCAGCAGGGAGTCTGCTTCTCCCTCTCCCTCTGCCCTTCTCCCTCTGCCCTCCTCCCTCAGCCCCCTCCTTCTGCCGTCCTCCCTCTGCCCCTCTCCCTCTGCCCTCCTCCCCCTGCTCCCTGCCTCTGCCATCTTCCCTCTGCCCCTCTCCCTCCTCCTTTTTTCCCCTCCCTCTTATTCATAGGTGCACTCTCTCCCAAATAAATAAATAAAACCTTTAAAAAAACCCCATACCCCAGGCCATAAAGTACAAATAAAACAAAAAAGAGCAGTGTTATATTGAATACACTTCTGCATGAATAAGTTTATTAACTGCTAATGGAAATTTGGACTTTCCTGGGATCTTCTGATGAGACTTTTCTTTTATCTTAAACTGCTTTCTCCTTAGTGAAGCCATCTTTGGGGTTAATCATTACTCTCACCATTGCTGTTATCTCAGCTCCAGCCTGATAGTGCTCTTATTTTGGTCCAGACACTCAAATTCTAAAAGTAGCTTCAAGTTAAGGAAAGATCATTTTCCACAGTTCAGTTCTCTGAAAAACTTCCATCTCCCGCTGAAAGTCATAGTCCACAAATGTAGCAGTAACATGTTAGAACGGTAGGGCCCATTAACGAGAAATTTTTAACACTGGCATTGGTTGATCTTATTTATCAAAAGCATAACAGTGCACAGTCCTGGCCTCTCCATGTATACGTGTAATTTTTTTAAAAAGAGAAGGCAATATATGAAGGAGGCTGAGGTTTGATCTCCAAAAATCAGCACAGTGAAAAAAAGTGATAGTGAAAAATGGTCAACAGAATTCAAATTATCAGATAGTTTAACAAGATGTGGTGCCAGTTTTCAATTCTATTTTGAACACCACATTACAAAATAACTATTTTTAAAAATAAAAAAGGATTGAGGGTAAAGGAAAAAAAGATGAAAGGATACCTAAATCATTGAATGACCCCCGTTTTGTTCCTGATAAACTTCAATTACATCATCTTCCTCCATTCCTAGCCCTTTGGCGGTGTGGTTGTCAGCAATTCTCTTACCATCAAACAGAAATCGAAATGAGTGCATTGGAACTCCTTGTCTTTGACAATAGCATTCTTTGAGTTTCTTCAGATGTGTTGTCATTCTCACTCTGAAATGTACCTCACTGCTATCCTCTCTGATGACTTTGAGTTTAATGTGTTCTTCTGGCTTCTTCCCGTCCACATCCTCATTGGAAGGGTTTGCCTCCTGGTCATCATCCATGGTGTGGTTGGCTTCACTCATCATCTCCGCACAAGAGTGGTGGTAGCAGCAGCCTTGAGTAGGCAGAACCTCGCTCCGGGGATTTACAGGTCCGTCTCACCTACGGCACGATGCTGTGACTGACTTGCTATGCTCAGCTTTGAATTCTGCTTTGGAATTCTTGATCACGTGTCATAAATTATCTTTATGATCCTTAGGGTTCTACAGACCTTAGTATGTCATTTGAGTTTTGTAATCGCTCCAACTCAAGAGCAAGCTTACAATAATTAATAAGAAGAAGGGGATAAATGGAAGCGTATAAATCAGCAGTATTAATGAACATCTCTTAGTCATGTGTCTCGGTTTGGGCTCCCCAAAAATTAGACAGCAAGGAAAGGACCTTGGGGCATGTAATTTATTTGAGAGGTGATCCCAGGAAGGATAAGAAAGGAAAGTGAGAAAAGCCAGCAGAGTATATTAAAGTTAGGTGTTTGCTATGTTCCACTGGAGCTCAAGGTGCTGAGGACCATCTGAGATAACACGCTAAACATGCCTCAGAGCCCTCTGTCTAGATGAATAAGAAGCAGGAACATCTTAACACCATTAATCATACCCATAGTTTGAGATATGGGACCAGGTGTATCAGGGATTCCGCAGTTACCCATTGTTTTATCCCTTGCTGTCTAGAAAACTCTTAGAGATCTGCCACTCAAGCTCTTGAGAGAGGGAGCTGTCAGAGGGTGTGGGCATCATCTACCGAAAATCCCAGGTGATTTATTTGGGACAAGAGGACATGGGACTGAAGTATCAACATCTCTTCCATCTTGGTTTTTGTGTGTGTGTGATAATTACGATTTTATAAATATATTACATTTACATAGTTTAACAAAAGCAAATAATCTGAAAGGCATACAAAAACCAAAAGTGTAACTGCTTGTTCCACCTTTTCCCTGTCTTTATACCTTGCACCTCTAGAGGCAGTCCCTTACAATTCATAACATTCTCTTATTTATCTCCATATTTCTAAATATGCATGCCTTGATTTATCCATCTTATAACTTATGTATCACTTTCCTGTTATGGCCATTGAGAATTTAATTTTTTAAAAAAGATTTTATTTATTTATTTATTTATTTATTCATTCATTCATGAGAGAAAGAGAGAGAGAGAGAGAGATAGCATGCATGAGTGGAGGAAAGAGGCAGAGGGAGAAGCAGGCTCCGTGCTGAGCAGGGAACCTGATGCTGGGCTTGATCCCAGAGTCCCAAGATCATGACCTGAGCTAAAGGCCATCCAGGTGCCCCTGCCATTGAGAATTTAATGTTTCACCTTATCTCACCTCCCTCCAATTTTCCCTCCTTTCCTTTTTCCAGTTGCATTATATCACAATTTCGGGGTAACTCAATATTCATGTTATTTTGACATTACAAAAATTTTCCATTACTAAGACAAATAATATATAATGATAATGGATCCTTGCTTGTAAAGCTTCTGATTATCCTACAGAAAAGTATTTTCATCTTTTATTTGCTTTTTTAAATGTACCTACTGGTAATCCTTTCCACATGCTCTATATGCTCTGTAAAATGTATTTTAGCAATATCGTTCATGAAACATTTCTTTTTTCTTTATGGAGACGTCTTCACTGGTGACCTCTATAAAGTTCACTCACAACTAGCATACTGTATAAGAGTCGACCTGAGATTTCCCTTTACCTTTATTATAGAAATTCTCTGCTTTTCATCTTACATGACTTGCTTCCTGGCTCCCAGAAGTCATGTCTTGTTCTCTCTTGGTGTGTTACCTTCTTTTGGTAAATTACATCCCCCATTAGGTTCCTGAGAGTTTCCATGGAAGGAAAATTGTTTTGAGGGTGAATTATTTCTGTAAGTGTGAAAATCTCTTTATTTTACCTTGACATTTGTTGCCATTTTAATGTCATTATAACATTTTAGCTTGAATATCATTTTTTTCAGAATCCTGAAGGCATCCCCAAGTTGTCTTCTAGTTTCCAGATGTTAGTACTGGGAATTTCTGTGCCATAATCTCCAACTTTATGTAGTTAACCTGCTCTATGTGCTGTTGCTCTTGGCTTAGTTTTGGTTTTCTTCTTGAATGCTTTTTAAGTTTTTCTTTTCTCCTTTTTGTAGTAGTATCTTGTAGTATATGGGCTCAGTGGGTCCATTAATGTGATAGTTCTGCCTTTACTTTTGAGCTAACATGGCATTTGTCTCTCTTGCACTTTTTTTTTTTTTAAACTTTTACAAGCCAGATATGAACTTTCTGATTTGATTCTTTGATCATGTTACCAGTTCTCTCCTACTTTCTACCTCCTTGCCTTCTTTCTACTTTGGGGGAGTTTTTATTGACTTTATTTTATTGCATTTCTACGTTGGTGCTGTAATTTTTTATTTCTAAGACATCATTTTTCTTCATATCCTTCTTCATATGCATTCTTTTCTGGTTCCGTGTACACAGTGCCTCCAGTGAATGTTAGTTCATCAACATTTGCTCTGATTTTCTGAAGATATTAACTATATTTGTTTGAAATTTCTTCCTTTTCCTGCATTATCTTGTTTCCTACTTCATTTTTATTTTGAGTTTACTTTTGTCTCTTTCATGTTGAAAGTTTTTTTCAAGTACTTCTTTAACTGTCTATTCATATAAGAATGAGGCTTACCTCCATTGCATAAGGAAGAGTAGCATTTTTACATAAAAATGGCAGATGGTAGGTTAGAGATCAGAGAAATGGTATTGTCCTCCACAATTGCTAAATGGCCCAGAAGATCTTCTCACATTAGGATTTGTGTTAAAACTTCTATAGATCCTTGAGTTCTTTGATATTTAACACATAAGTTTAGATTTTAGTACATTTTATTTCCAAGAGGAAGGTCCATAGCACTAATCATTTCTTGAAAGATAGCATCCTCTTAAAAGATTAACTGGCCTTGAGATGTAAGATGCTAGAGATACACCTCAGCTGTTAAAATGGCAATTGTCTTTGAGTGACACATTGGTGTAGAGTTACTGGAAATAACACAAATCTAAAGATTCATTATAATATGGAAACAGGGAAAAATTAGTTTAATATTCCTTAAAATGTTTACTAGGTCCTCTGGGACTTCTACTTTTTAAGGTGAAGTCAGAGACAGAATTTATTCTTTTACCAGAAACACTTCAGAATCAATTTTAAAAAATGGTTTTGAAGACATAGGATACCAGGCAGTAAATTACATTGATTCCTGAGAAGTGGGAGACAAGCATGGTGAGCTCTGTGATTATCCCAGGTTATTGCCTTGAGAGACTGTCCAAACCATGGTACAGGGAGGGGAATCCAGGTAGAACTTGCTAGACTTTTTGTATTTTGGAGATGGGACTACGAGTCCAGGAAGAACGAGGTGGCTGGGGTTTGCAGGACATACTAAAGGAGATGAAGTAGCTGCACAAAGAATTGTTAGGGGGTTCCCCTCAATTGGTCCTCAAGAGTACTGATGTCTACTTGCATGTCAGACAACTACCATAGGCCATGGGAAAAACCATCAGAGAGGATTGCAGGGAACAGTGCTCAGATCTCTTACAGTTTCCAGAATAGTGCTGCTTCCCATCAACCAGGCTGGGAAAATGTAATTCACAGGATGAAAGGGGATTACTCAGAAGGATTTTGTCTCAACTATGGGGAAACTTAACCCTAGACTAAATGCTGCTCTGACCTGGCCTAGTAAAACTTACCTTTGGAGAGCAGGAAAGGCTTACCGACTGGGAGAAGGTAGAAAGGAAATTCTGATATACTTGGTAACATTCTATTTATTGAGCTGGGATATGATTGTAAGAGTTGTGATACCATCAAGATGAATATTTTTTTAGATCTGAGAATTAGTGAGCAAAACATCTATTTTAAGAAGTTAAATAAATGAATATAAAATAAGCCCAAAGAAAAGTGGAAAGAGAAATAAGAAGGCTAATTAACGGTAGGAATGCATACATAAAATAGAGGATTACCAAAGCCAGAAGTTGGTTCTTAGCAAAAAGTTGGGAAACTTACAAACTAATGGTGAAATTGATAGGGGGATGGCCAGGGGAGGGGGAAGGAGTAGGGCAGAGAGGGAGAGAGAGAGAGCAGTAGGGTACAAGAGCTATATCAGGAATGCAAAATGTTATATAACTATACCTGATTAAAAAAAACACTAAAAAAAAATACTAAAAAGACTTGATCAACTCAGTGACTTTTAATTTGAAAAATAAAATGATAAAACATTTTTTAAAAACCAAATTAATAAGTGAAGTGATTTGAATTTGAATTTGAACATATTCCCAGTAATTTTCAGCTTCTGATTACACATAAGAGTCTAGGTTTAGATCAGATTAGATGGATAAAAATGAAGAGGAAAAGGTTTGTTTTTTTTTTTAACTAAAAGCTGCTTTTGTTTAACTATTAGCGCAAATGGCCTCTAAACAGTTCCCTGGGGAATAAGGCCTCTTTGAGATAGGGAGATAATGGTGTGGTGGACAACCTCTAAAGTGGCCCTCATCTCCTGATACCCCCTTCCTCTGTAATCCATTCATCTTGCATAGCCTGTACCTGGTGACTTCTAACAATAAAATTAAATAATAAAATACAGCCCAGGATGTCACTGGTCAGCATCCAGAGAGGAACTGCTTGCGCACAACAGCAGTGCCAATAAGCTTGGAAATAGATCTTTCCCTATTCCAGCCAGGAGATGATGATCACTCTAGCTGACACTTTGAAGCCTGTGACAGCCCCTGAGCCAAGTCATCTAGCTAAGCTGTGCCTGGATTCCTGTTCCACAGAAATCGTGACATCCTAAGTGTTATTTGAAGACCCTAAGTATCAGGGCAATTTTGGGTGCAATAATAGAGAACGAATTTATTAAGAGAGATCGATGATCTGTGAATGGAATAAGGCTCCTAAATACCAAAGATGGAAGAAATTGGTAACATTGGGAGGCAACGTGGCAAGCTTCTGAGCGAGGCTTCAGAGATTTCTGGTAGTTCCCATTCCA